GGGATCCTCGAGATACCCAACATGACAGTTTACTATCCAGGGTCAACAGAGATAGGGCTTGTGCATGAGGATCGGTGCACTGTGCACTGCAATGAGCCATTCAAGTCAGCTGAGGGATAATCTTGAGAGACCATCCTCTCACACCTTCCATGATCTGCCTGAAGGTACATGAAATTCTCGAAGATTGAGTCAGCTACCCGCAGCTATTCGAAGGGGACAAGGCGCCTCTGTAGTGGACCACCCGAGTCTGGGACACATCGGGGCAATGTTTACAAAAACTGATCAATTATGTTCAAACCTGTCTCTAAGATAAAAGGTAGGGACATTTGACTCACCTAGTATTGGGGGGGGGGGCCGCGGGGGGAACGGGTGAGAGAGAGGAAGAGAGGGAAATAGAGTGGGGGAACATAGGCACCGAGAGGACCAAGCTAGCAAGACCACCCTCAGGTCAACCTCTTGGCCCTTGACAAATGGCTGAAGGGGAGGAGGGAAGGAGGGAATCAGCCGTTACACTCTGTGCCAGCGTAGTCTTGGCATCTGCCTCTTTAAGCGGCGATATTCTCCAACTGCGAGACCTCACGGTGGATTCCTTTTAATTGGCCTGGTCAGGGTGGGGGGGGGGCGTGCATTTATCTCTTTCCTCTGGTCCAACTGTTGCTCCAGATTCTGACAGGCTTTGAGTCTTGCAAGGGGAGAGTGATTCTTTTGGCTCCTAGGTGGCTGGCCCAGCCTTGGTTTGAGGGGCTGCTTGCTCAGTGTCCGGACCCAGGCATCTTTCCATGGCTCTGCCTTTATCAGAGTGAGTGACATACATCGCAGGTTTGGTCTTATCTCCTGCTTTCCACGTCTGGACTTTTTGACGCATATTTATCACAATTTGTGTCATGAATAGGTTGCTGGTTTCTAAGCATCCCAAATGAGGTCTTTTCAGCAACAGTGTAGGTTCTTGGCGGTCTTTTCACTTTTTTTTTATCTTTGTCGTTTTCCTTTTACTTCTGACCAGGAAATGTTTTGTTTTGACAAGTTTTGTTCTTTCTTTTTTTTTTTTTTCCTTGATCGACCTCTTGTCATGTATACTGTCACTTCTTACCGTGCAGCATTGGAGGAACTGCTTCAGCTCGCATTTGGGGCTATCATTCTTTAGCCCTGTTTCACAACAGGGCTGAAACTTTCTTGCATATTTTGCCTCTGGCCTGCTCATGTGCCACCTGAGCCTGCCTGGTCTCAGAAAAAGAACCAGGTTCTTTTTTCCTGTTCATTTCATGATGGCCGCTTTGGTTCAGGATTGCTTTGGAATGCTTTGTTTTTGCCTTCCTTGGCCTCCAGTTGTTGGGGGGGAACTTTGTGCTTTTCTCCGGCGCTGGGGTTTTTCATTCATTTGATCCTGGTGGTCTTTTTGTTAGGTTGCAGCCGGCTCCTTTTTTCTGGCGGTGAATGAATCTGCGGCCTTCCAGAGGGATCCTTTAGTTTTTTGACACTTGGTTGTCTCAGCCGGGGGTGCACCATGCTCTGTGTCTGGTGGCAGTTTTATTCTGCGGCCTTCGGCATGCTGGTTCTATTTCGGTGGTCTCGTTGCTCCAGTTTGGTTCCCTGTTCCAGGGCTCGTCTGTCTCAGGTTGTCCGCAGTATCATTACAGCTCGCCAGCCTGCGGTCGATTCTCGTGCTCATGATATTCGGTTGTGCTCACCTAGTTGTGCTTGTGGGGGTTGAGCTCTGGTTCTTTTGTCCTGCCTTGCAACTGTCAATCAACTGGTGTACAAATTCCTGAGCCTACTGGGCTCTTATCATATCTACATTTGAAACTTTGTATGGAGTCAGCCTCCACCACATTACTTCCTATTGCATTCCATCTGTTAACTACTTTGACACTGAACAAATTCTTTCTGATGTCTCTGTGGCTCATTTGGGTACTAAGTTTCCACCTGTGTCCCCTTGTTCATGTTCCACCTGTGCTAAGAGTGTCTGTGTCCAACCTATGTCTAGAAAGAGAGGGCCTGACAGCTGAGTGGACAGCGCTTTGGACTCGTAGTCCTGAGGTTCCGGGTTCGATCCCCGGTGGAGGCAGAAACAAATGGGCAGAATTTCTTTCACCCTGATGCTCCTGTTCACCTAGCAGTAAATAGGTACCTGGGAGTTAGACAGCTGCTATGGGCTGCTTCCTGGGGATGTGTAACAAAAAGGAGGCCTGGCCAAGGCCTCCTTTTACCTCCTCCTCCTCCTCCTCCAAGGACGCTAAGCCTTGAAATCATCTCAAGATAACCTCAAGATAACCCTGTCAGTTCCCCTGAGAATTTGTAGGTCGTTATCATGTCTCACCTTACTCTTCTGTTTTCCAGGGACGTGAGGTTCATCTCCTTTAGCCTTTTCTTATAGCTCATACCTCTCAGTTCTGGGACGAGTCTGGTGGCATACCTCTGAATCTTCTCTTTGTCTTGTGTTTAATTAGGTATGGACTCCAGGCTGGAGCTGCATGCTCCAGGATTGGTCTTGCATAAGTGGTATACAAGGTCCTGAATGATCCTTACACAAGTTTCTAAAGGCAGTTCTTATGTTGGCCAACCTAGCATATGCCGCTGATGATATTCTTTTGATGTGGGCCTCTGGGGACAGGTTCGGTGTGATATCAGCCCCCAGCTCTTTCTCTCTATTTGACTCTTGCAGGATTTCACCTCCCAGATGGTATCTTGTGTTCAGCCTCCTGCTCCCTTCGCCAAATTTCATTACTTTACACTTTCCTGAGTTGAACTTTAGTAGCCATTTTCTAGACCCTCCAGTTTGTCCAATTCATCCTGTAGTCTCTGTCTATCTTAATCTGTCTTGATTCTTCTCATAATTTTTGCATCATCAGTAAACATTGAGAGGAATGAGTCTATACCCTCTGGAAGATCGTTTACATATATTAGAAACAGAATGGGTCCAAGTACAGAGTCCTGTGGGACTCCACTGGTGACATCTCCCCATTCTAATGTCTTCCCCCCTCACAATTACTCGCTGTTTTGTGTTGCTTAGATACTCCCTTATCCAGTGGAGCATCTTACCTTTTACTCCTGCCTTTTACCTCCTGGTTGTATGCTGCTCTGTCTGCTGTTTTGGTACTATGTCTTGGGCCAATATTCGGGCATGGGGGGTTTTGGCAGTCTACCGTGGTCTTAGTTGCTAGGTTTCTTGTTAATGCTCTTGTGGCTCTGGTGTGTGTGTGTTGTGGCCTTTAGTCTTGCCTTCGCCTTGATACCTGCGGTGCTGCTAGTGTTCATAGGCCATCTCTCCCTTCGCCTCTTTGAGGGCAAACAGGGAACTTGGCTTCCTCCCAGGTTCATGCTCATAGTCCCCAGTAGGCAAAAAAAAAAGAAAAAAAATCTTTACAACTGATGACACTCAAGTAGTATGGCCCTTAACACTTTCGCCCGACGGGAACGATTCCAATATGAACGACTTAGCTTGGAAATTGATGTCAGAACACTGGAAAGAGTATACGTGTTCTAGAAATCGTGGGGATGGATACGCGTCGCCGAACCCGATTTGGGGTGGGTTCGGGCGCGCTCGCCAGGAATGTGAGTGTTAATCAGTATGATAATTTCAGGAAGCCCCAGGGTCTCGCATTTGAAATTGGCATTTCATTACATTCAACTCTAGTTGTTCTAAGATTGTTATAGATAGGGAGATTTTGTTAGAAATTTGTATGGAATGTTATCAGCATCTCTAGCGAGTGGCTATTGACTTATATGATTATTACTTTTACAGGGATACAGTGCGAAGCATGCATCCTCCGGGGGAAAACATCATTGCATTTAAGGCTTCAATAACCAAAGAAGACGATGCTTTCACAGGCTCTCTCCTATCTTATGATGAGGTCTCTATTTGGGCCACAGAGCGATGCATTCCACTTGTACGGGAAATTACGTTCCAGGTGAGTTTCTGTCCTCTGCCGACACATGGAATTAAACACACCAGCATTATTAGAATTGCTAATTTGCTTATGGATATTTTCCATTTTAAGTCAATATTTTCTACTATCTAGAGGGTGAAGAAACATGCTGGGATGCTCCCGGACGCAGGTTCGAATCCTCGTCACAGCCCTTGTGGATTTGTTCATTTGATGCATTACGTTAGTGTGATCACTGTGTGTAGTGAAGAAACACTAAATCACTTAATTTTTTCAATTTATTTTGACATTGTCAGGTGTGTATAGTGAACACACCTGACCACCTGTGTATAGTGAATCACCTCACCAAAAAATAGTGAACGGTGATTCGTGGAACAGTGATGTGGAACGGGTATCACAACAAAATATAAGTTGGAAGTGAATATTATAAATATAGAATACTAGAAATATAGAATAGTGGCAAGAGGCGGCATCAGTGGTTATAAATCGGGTAACTGGAAACTGGTGACATCAACCTGGGACAACAAGAGGTCACCTGTACCGACCGGGGACCAGCCTCGTTACCCTACGCTAAGTACCTGCCATAAAGTTTGAACAAAATAACATACATAATATTACAAATATACGGTATACATATAATATTATAAGTATTAAACATATAAATATATATACATATAATTTTATAAAGAGTTAAAAAGACTGACATCAACAAGTGATCCATACAGTGAATCTCAAATACAACAACGTGTCAACTGTACAGCCTCTGGGACCCTCACTCTCGACCGTGCGATAAGTACTGACCATACAGTAGAACAAATAAACATATATATTGTTACAATATACAATATACATATAATATTATAAATATATAGATATATACAACAAAACAAGGCAAAATGGGAGTAAATAAACAAATTTGTGGCCACTGTAACAACTCCTTAAAGACGAAGGTAACGGGAATTGAATGTTATATCTGTAAGACTAGATTCCATTCAGTTTGTACAGGAGTGAGTAACACTACGGCACTGAGAGCTGGCCACTTGCTCTGGGTGTGTAAAAATGACCTGCCAGCTTGGAATATCCTAAAAAAACCTTCTAGATAACATGACGCATGATCAGAAAACATCATTCATTGGAAGCCTACCAGCCATCCAGAAGGAGTGGGAAAGGAATAACAATTCTAATATACAAGGGGCGGAGGCTATAGTCAGGGATGAAACCGAGGCTGAAACTCAGGAAGTTGTAAACTCGGACTCAGTAGGCCAGGATGTAGATGACAGTAAACTAGAATGTGTACCAGACAGCACTGACAGCTCGATAGGTACAGACACTACGACGGTTCCCGATAGAGTAATTCAAAACAGGAGGACAGACTTATGCAAATTTTATGCAAAGGGCATACATAGACATGCAGACATAGATATGCTGGTAATAAGAAAGGATTAGAATGCAGTTACCAACATCCCAAAAAATGTTTAAATATGCTTAGGAAAGGTGAGTGTCGATTTGGATCAATATGTAGGTTTTTCCATCCTGACATGTGCCAAACCTCACTGGAGGACAGAAAATGCTATGACCTCAGCTGCCCACAATTTCACGTGAAAGGCACGGAACACTACATAAAGAGTGGCAAGCAGGATAATGAATTTGGAGGAAACTATATAAATTTTTTATACCAGACCGACAGAGAATTCAAAAGGAGGAGCATGGAGAGTGTATGGAACTGGATGCCAGATTCACTTGCATTCCAGAATTACAGATACAATTACCCACCGAAAGGGAACTACAACTACGACAGACAACTGCCCTACAACAATCAGTACTGGTCAGAACAAACTCATTATGTCCACGCATAATGGGCTTGCCAAAAAAGTCTCCCATTCAAACTATCACTAATAGAGTAACCTCATTCATCTTTGCCCACATACAAGGACTGAAAACAAGAACAAACAACAAAGTACACTTCATAAATGGCCTCCTCACGGAGTCAAATGCAGTATTTGGAGCTTTCACAGAAACCCATGCAGGGGAATTGTTGGACAGTGAGATCTGGATTCCAGGATATAACCTATACAGGTGTGATAGGAAAATTAGGTCACATGGAGGAGTGGGTCTGTATATTAGGGAAGACCTTGTATGCTCGGAGCTCCTAAACGTTACAAATGAGGTGGTACAGGTACTGGGATTAAAAAAAGAGAAAATAAATTTAGTGATTATTCTAATATACAAACCGCCAGATGCAACGGCTTAGGAATTCACAGAACAGATAAGCAAAATAGAGAATAGCCTTGATAATTTGGAGAACCCGATACCTGATATTATCTTCCTAGGTGACTTCAACTTGCCTAGTCTCAGGTGGAAAATAGCAAACAATAATATTATACCAGGAAATCTATCAGGACCTAACCAACCACAGATTAGAGAACTACTTAGATTCTGTGACAAATTTTCACTCAATCAGCAGATATCGGAGCCAACGAGAAATGAAAATATTCTAGTTCTGGTCTTTACGAACAATGAAGACATTATCAGAGACATTACGATATCAGATACCACATACTCAGATCACAAGCTCATTGAAGTGCAAACGACCATCAATACTCAGAATAGACCTAAAACGTTGATAAAGCGAGAGGGGCTATTCAGTAAATTCAATTTTAATAATAAGAGGATAGACTGGGAGATAATAAACAGGGAACTTACAAACATTCCATGGGGAACTGTTCTAAGTAATATAAGTCCTACAGAAGGAATAGAAAAACTGACTTCAGAAGCGTATCAAGTCTGTCTGAAACATGTTCCTTTGAGGAAAGCCAGAAAGAGATCCAACGTAGAAAGAGAACGCAGACGACACTATAAACGCAGGAAAAAAATAACGGAACTGCTTATGCAGACACGAATTTCCCGTCAAAGAAGGAATAATTTAAATAGGGAGATTGAAGAAATCGAGCGGAAATTGAAACACTCATATGAAACTGAAGAAAGGCAGTTAGAACAGAAAGCAATTCAGGAAATAAAGAAAAATCCAAAATATTTCTTCTCATATGTGAAATCAAAAGCAAAAACCACTGCCAGTATTGGACCTATTTGTACAACTGAAGGTTCATACACGGAGGATGACAAAGAAATTAGTGAAATCCTAAAAAAGCAGTATGAGGACATGTTTAGCACTCCAATAAACAACATGAAGGTGGAAGATCCAGACAATTTCTTTATGCGGGATATTCAAACCCCTGTAAATATAACTGATATAAACACGAGCGTACTAAATTTTGAAAGAGAAATTGAAAACATGCCCATGCACTCTACCCCAGGTCCAGACTCATGGAATTCAATATTTATAAAGAAATGCAAAGTGCCGGTAGCACAGGCACTCAGTATAGTGTGGAGGAAGAGCTTGGACACGGGGGAGATACCAGATGCACTTAAAGTAGCAGACATAGCCCCTCTACACAAGGGAGGGAGCAAAGCATTGGCAAAGAATTATAGACCAGTTGCACTAACATCGCACATCATAAAAGTATTTGAGAGAGCGATTAGGAGTCAGGTCACCAATTTCATGGAGACCAATGACCTTCACAACCCAGGCCAACATGGATTTCGAGCGGGAAGATCGTGCCTCTCACAGCTACTTGAGCACTATGACAAAGTCACTGAGGCATTAGAAGAAAAACAGAATGCCGATGTGATATACACGGACTTCGCAAAGGCTTTCGATAAATGTGACTATGGCGTGATAGCACACAAAATGAAGTCAATGGGAATAACCGGTAAAGTAGGATGCTGGATACTCAGTTTTCTGTCAAACAGGACTCGGCGAGTAACGGTCAACCATATAAAATCTAGTCCAAGTGCAGTTAAAAGCTCTGTACCTCAGGGTACAGTCCTTGCACCGCTGCTTTTCCTTATTCTCATATCAGATATAGACAAAAATACAAGTCACAGCTTCGTATCATCCTTTGCAGATGACACAAAAATCAGTATGAAAATTACCTCGGCTGGAGACATTGAAAACTTCAAGCTGATATTAATAAAGTTTTCGACTGGGCATCAGAAAATAACATGATGTTTAACAGTGATAAATTCCAGGTACTCGATACAGTAAAAATGAGGACCTTAAACATAATACAGAGTACAAAACACAATCAAATGTACCCATAGTAGGAAAACAGCATGTAAAGGATTTGGGAATAATAATGTCTGACAACCTAACGTTTAAGGAGCATAACCAAGCAAATATTGCGACAGCCAGAAAAATGATAGGATGGATTACGAGAACTTTCAAATCCAGGGATCCCATCACAATGGTTGTACTCTTCAAGTCACTTGTGTTGTCCCGTCTTGAGTACTGCTCAGTACTCACTTCCCCCTTCAGAGCAGGAGAGATTGCTGAAATAGAGGGAATACAGAGAACATATACGGCACGCATAGACGCAATAAAGCACCTAAATTATTGGGATCGTCTCAAAGCCCTCCAAATGTACTCACTAGAAAGAAGACGAGAGAGATATCAAATAATATACACCTGGAAGATACTGGAGGGCCAAGTACCAAATCTACACAGTAAAATAACAACGTACTGAAGTGAACGATATGGAAGAAAATGTAGAATAGAACCAGTGAAGAGCAGAGGTGCCATAGGCACAATCAGAAAACACTGTATAAACATCAGAGGTCCGCGGTTGTTCAACGTCCTCCCAGCAAGCATAAGAAATATTGCCGGAACAACCGTGGACATTTTCAAGAGGAAACTAGATTTATTCCTCCAAGGAGTGCCGGACCAACCGGGCTGTGGTCAGTATGTGGGCCTGCGGGCCGCTCCAAGCAACAGCCTAGTGGACCAAAGTCTCACAAGTCAAGCCTGGCCTGGGGCCGGGCTTGGGGAGTAGAAGAACTCCCAGAACCCCATCAACCAGGTATCAACCAGGTATCAAGAATATACACATGGCACAAAACACAGTATACTAAAAATTCCATGGAAAAACATACATATTTAAGCGTTGGTTCACCTCAGTCCCTAATTAAACTCATGCTTGGGAATGAGTAGTCTTTAATTGTAGAGCTCGATGAAATACAGTATGGACTCGAGTTAACGACCTATATGGGGCTGTACCCATGTCGTTAAATCCGGAGGTTTTAAAATTTTGGTACTGTAACTGTTTAGAGATATTTGGAAGAGTAACAGGATGGATGAATGCGTAACTGGCAGGCAGGCAGGCGGGAGTGTGGCTGGGCGGATGGATTGGTTACTGATTGGCAGACAGGCAGTGTGGATGGATTGGTGGTTGACCAATCTATCCAACTCAGGTGGTGGGTAGGTGGATGGGCAGAGTGGGCAGGCAGGTGGGCTTGATGACTAACAGGGTGGGGTGAGTGGGCAGGGTGGGTAGGTGGCTGACTGGTGGATAGACAGGCAGGATTACCAGGATGGGTGTTTGAGACAGGGTGGGTGGATGGGTGAATTTGAAAATTCCACAAGGGTGTTAATGAGGGTTTGAACCTACGCACTGAGTCTTCCCAGATGCACATTAGTCAACTAACTCTACCACAATATGGTCAAAAGAATTGCAATCTGGAGTGCTACTCCCGTCACGAGTATCCCGAGGCTTTTACTTGAGGCCTCGGGGAATGGGGGGAATTGTGTGAACTCCCAGTTAGGCTTCAGTAGAAGCCTTGGGATCCTCGTGAGGACAGTAGCACTCACAAGACAGACGTGATGTGCATAGTATATCGGGAGGCACTTTGCCTTGTCAGCTGCTGTCAGCAACTGACTAGAATTTGTAGTGCTTTAAATATTTAAGTGTTCGGACATAAAGTTTCATGTTACATCTTTCATTTTGGTATCAAATTGTGCGCATTCTAAAGGGGCTTAATTTGAAACTATCCTGAGGTCAGTCGGATAAATAATGAATTTTATGTAAATATTTTTGTAGTGGACGCGAGTCCTATCCAAAGTCAGGACTCAGGAGAAAAAAATGTACATGATAAGTGTCCAAAGTGAGCGATAGTGCTAACCAGCATACATAACCCACACTGGATATGTCATACAGTATTTAACAACTGTGTTACCTTTAAGACACATTCATTATCTAAATTAAAAATGCTCCTAGACAATTGAAAGGAATGTTAAACTTTCATGCACCTATCACCCACTTGCAGTGCGTAAATGACAACAACACCAGAGCGCTGTGATGGTGTGCCACCACTGGGTGCATCACCCTAGTGGCCGGATGTGGCAACACAAAACATCACATCCAGAAATACAAGTTTCACATCCTGTATAGCAATCCTCTTGCCCAAAATATAAACAACTATACAGCTGATCTTAGAGGAGGTTAGAGTTGGGGCACAAAATCTACTGTAAAATATCTTTCAATAAGTGTATGGTGAAACATAGTAAAATAGTTTTTTTCCACAAAATATCCGCATAAAATAGGGGCGTGTCCTATGCGAGGTGCGTCTCTTACGTCAAGTACGGTAAATATGTAAGAAATATCAACTCCCACCTCACTCTTGACTCGGGGTAATTACTCCATGAAAGCTGGTGAACTGTGATGTTCATCACTGTTCACCAGATTTTCTCGCTCTACAGCCAAAGTAAGTCATATAAATTGCTATTCAAATTTTCCCATGATCATGTGAATGCATTTTAACAATATTAGGAGGAAAAATGTTGAACGTTTTTCCCTGCACACCCGGGCGTTGTCTTGTATACACCGGCTTACACCACAAAGTTTAAGATTCAGATTTTGAAGCTCCACTGTAATATAAAGGTCATGCCAAAGGAAGTTGATAATTAACATACTAAAAGTTATGTTCAATTAATTTCAGAATGCTGAAGAATTAACAGAAGAAGGGCTGCCTTTCCTGATACTTTTCCATGCTCCAGATGATACTGAGAGCATGAAGAAATACTCAGCACTTGTGCAAGCAGAACTCACTGATGAAAAACGTAAGTGAGAAGTCAGATTTATTGTGTAAAAATGTAAATGTTAGATGAGAGAGAGGTGTGTATAATAATATGCTATGCAGTTGCGTTTTTGTGTTTAGATACAGTAGGATAAAATTTCTATGAGTGACTATGAAGACTATTAATGCATATTTGTGAAGTGACGATGTAGAACACTTAATAATACAGATGAAAATAATAAGGTGAAAGGATGTTTTATTCGTGGTTTTATATTACATGGCTAAAACCAAGGGGAATTAATTACCTAAGGACTGGATGGGTATTTCCATTCTTTCTTTATATGGTATAGAGGTAAAACTGTTGCAGTAGTATGGGAGCATCATTAGGTGAGTGGTGTCTCAAGTATGAGAGCATTAGTGGAGGCTGTGAATTGAGTGCATGTTTAGTGTAGATAGTTGTTCTGGAAGGTGAAAAACACCAGAGTTGAATGTAATGAAATGCCAGTTTTTGGGTGAGCCCCGGAGGCTCCCCGACACCCTCCCTCCCTCCCTCTGGTCAGCGGTTTTTATCATTCAAGAACTGGGTGGTGGCAGCCCAGCTCTCCTGGGCAGAAGAAAAGTTTTCTTCAAGATGTGCCAGACCAACCAGTCTGTGGTGGATATGTGGGCCTACAAGCCACTCCAAGCAACAGCCTGTTGGACCAAGCTCTCATCACAAGGGCTCATAACAATATGCTACACCTTGTGGTGTAGCATATTGTGACCCCACCACACACCAGTTGAACAATATTGGACCTGGATCAATCCCTGTGCCAGGAGGCAAAATTGGGGAGTTGATTCTGTTTACATAACAGTAGTTGTATACAGATTGACAGATTGTATTACAAGGGATGCTAGTTGGATTAGGCTTAAAGATGAGCTGTGGGATGGAAGAGCTATAAGCTTAACACAAGAATTATAATTAATGTTCTCCTGTATACCAAAAAAGTTGACTGGAAATAATGCTTATGTTTATATGGACAGAAAATGTGAACTTCCTGACAGCAGATGGCGTACAGTTCGCACATCCCCTTCATCACTTGGGCAAGTCCAAGAAGGACTTGCCACTCATTGCTATTGACTCCTTCAGGCACATGTATCTCTTCCCGGGTGAGTTATTAAACCCAACTGATTTAATAGTTGTGCTTTAGAAAATAAACTGCATTCTTTACTTTTCTTTTTTATAACAATTATTAAGACTATAGCATATACCTTTAACCTTTACATTTGTAGTAGATGGATTTGTAATGTGATCAAGGGGGCCTCGTAGCCTGGTGGATAGCGCGCAGGACTCGTAATTCTGTGGCGGGGGTTCGATTCCCGCACGAGGCAGAAACAAATGGGCAAAGTTTCTTTCACCCTGAATGCCCCTGTTACCTAGCAGTAAAATAGGTACCTGGGAGTTAGTCAGCTGTCACGGGCTGCTTCCTGGGGGTGGAGGCCTGGTCGAGGACCGGGCCGCGGGGACACTAAAGCCCCGAAATCATCTCAAGATAACCTCAAGATAACTGCATCTGTTGCTGATGGTTTTATAAAGTAATAGCAATGTCTTCTCATTGACACAACAACAGGATAAAAACCTACACTTCTCTACAGTATTTGTGTATTTATTGTAAAGATTTATACCAAGTTTTTCACTCTCTCCTCTGAATGGTTTATGAAGGTTTGAGTATTTGGTTAGGACGAGGTTATCTTGAGATGAGGTTATCTTGAGATGATTTCGGGGCTTTAGTGTCCCCGCGGCCCGGTCCTCGACCAGGCCTCCACCCCCCAGGAAGCAGCCCGTGACAGCTGACTAACACCCAGGTACCTAATTTACTGCTAGGTAACAGGGGCATAGGGTGAAAGAAACTCTGCCCATTGTTTCTCGCCGGTGCCTGGGATCGAACCCAGGACCACAGGATCACAAGTCCCGCGTGCTGTCCGCTCGGCCGACCAGCTCCCAAAGACTTACATCTCAACAACTAATACAGTTGCTACCCAGGATCCAAGTCCTTTTATCCTTCTTTAACTTCCTGATCATGTCACCTCTGTCCCCAACTGCTGATGTACCCACATGGATGTCTTCCATGGAATTATGATCAGTTATCCTTTCTGACATCCTGATATTCTGAGAACTGAGTATACCATTATTAATAACAACTCAAGTTCTCAGAATATCAGGATGTCAGAAAGGATAACTGATCATAATTCCATGGAAGACATCCATGTGGGTACATCAGCAGTTGGGGGACAGAGGTGACATGATCAGGAAGTCAAGAAGGATGAAAGGACTTGGATCCTGGGTAGCAACTGTATTAGTTGTTGAGATGTAAGTCTTTGGGAGCCGGTTGGCCGAGCGGACAGCACGCGGGACTTGTGATCCTGTGGTCCTGGGTTCGATCCCAGGCGCCGGCGAGAAACAATGGGCAGAGTTTCTTTCACCCTATGCCCCTGTTACCTAGCAGTAAATTAGGTACCTGGGTGTTAGTCAGCTGTCACGGGCTGCTTCCTGGGGGTGGAGGCCTGGTCGAGGACCGGGCCGCGGGGACACTAAAGCCCCGAAATCATCTCAAGATAACCTCATCTCAAGATAACCTCGTCCTAACCAAATACTCAAACCTTGATAAACAATTCAGAGGAGAGAGTGAAAAACTTGGTACAAATCTTTACAATAAATACACAAATACAGAAGCATAGGTTTTGATCTGAGGGTTTTATTCCTATCAGCTGTTATAGACTAATTTCTCACCATCTGTGAGGTTGGTGTACAACGCTTCTCCCTATCACATGTCTCTCTTGTACATGGCTTCTCTCACAACTTATTTCTGTTAGGACAATTGTATTCTATTATGCCTGCATAAGTTATAGTTTTGTCTTAACACCATCTTGTCTTGTCTTTTGTCTCTGCTGCTGTTGTAGATATAGTTAGGAACCTGTGTTGCTGTTGTAGATAGTTAGGAACCTGTGTTGCTGTTGTAGATAGTTAGGAACCTGTGTTGCTGTTGTAGATACAGTTAGGAACCTGTGTTGCTGTTGTAGATACAGTTAGGAACCTGTGCTGCTGTTGTAGATAGTTAGGAACCTGTGTTGCTGTTGTAGATACAGTTAGGAACCTGTGTTGCTGTTGTAGATAGTTAGGAACCTGTGTTGCTGTTGTAGATAGTTAGGAACCTGTGTTGCTGTTGTAGATACAGTTAGGAACCTGTGTTGCTGTTGTAGATACAGTTAGGAACCTGTGCTGCTGTTGTAGATAGTTAGGAACCTGTGTTGCTGTTGTAGATACAGTTAGGAACCTGTGCTGCTGTTGTAGATACAGTTAGGAACCTGTGCTGCTGTTGTAGATACAGTTAGGAACCTGTGCTGCTGTTGTAGATACAGTTAGGAACCTGTGCTGCTGTTGTAGATACAGTTAGGAACCTGTGCTGCTGTTGTAGATACAGTTAGGAACCTGTGCTGCTGTTGTAGATACAGTTAGGAACCTGTGTTGCTGTTGTAGATATAGTTAGGAACCTGTGTTGCTGTTGTAGATAGTTAGGAACCTGTGTTGCTGTTGTAGATAGTTAGGAACCTGTGTTGCTGTTGTAGATACAGTTAGGAACCTGTGCTGCTGTTGTAGATACAGTTAGGAACCTGTGCTGCTGTTGTAGATACAGTTAGGAACCTGTGTTGCTGTTGTAGATACAGTTAGGAACCTGTGTTGCTGTTGTAGATACAGTTAGGAACCTGTGTTGCTGTTGTAGATACAGTTAGGAACCTGTGTTGCTGTTGTAGATACAGTTAGGAACCTGTGTTGCTGTTGTAGATACAGTTAGGAACATGTGCTGCTGTTGTAGATACAGTTAGGAACCTGTGTTGCTGTTGTAGATACAGTTAGGAACCTGTGTTGCTGTTGTAGATACAGTTAGGAACCTGTGTTGCTGTTGTAGATAGTTAGGAATCTGTGCTGCTGTTGTAGATACAGTTAGGAACCTGTGTTGCTGTTGTAGATACAGTTAGGAACCTGTGTTGCTGTTGTAGATACAGTTAGGAACCTGTGCTGCTGTTGTAGATACAGTTAGGAACCTGTGTTGCTGTTGTAGATACAGTTAGGAACCTGTGTTGCTGTTGTAGATACAGTTAGGAACATGTGCTGCTGTTGTAGATACAGTTAGGAACCTGTGTTGCTGTTGTAGATACAGTTAGGAACCTGTGTTGCTGTTGTAGATACAGTTAGGAACATGTGCTGCTGTTGTAGATACAGTTAGGAACCTGTGCTGCTGTTGTAGATACAGTTAGGAACCTGTGCTGCTGTTGTAGATAGTTAGGAACCTGTGTTGCTGTTGTAGATACAGTTAGGAACCTGTGTTGCTGTTGTAGATACAGTTAGGAATCTGTGTTGCTGTTGTAGATACAGTTAGGAACCTGTGTTGCTGTTGTAGATACAGTTAGGAATCTGTGTTGCTGTTGTAGATACAGTTAGGAACCTGTGTTGCTGTTGTAGATACAGTTAGGAACCTGTGCTGCTGTTGTAGATACAGTTAGGAACCTGTGTTGCTGTTGTAGATAGTTAGGAACCTGTGCTGCTGTTGTAGATAGTTACCAACCTGTGCTGCTGTTGTAATTACCTAAGTGTAGTTACAGGATGAGAGCTACGCTCGTGGTGTCCCACGAGCTGTAGATACAGTTAGGAACCTGTGCATGTGTTATAGACATCATCATGTCTAGTAATATTGTCATCTATAGAGGATATTGTAGTGATATCAGAACAGTCTTCTACTGTATAATGTATAGTATTTAATACTATATCTTTCTTATGTGAATATCCCAGTATAAGTTGCCAGCTTTCATTTGGAAAGTAAGAACATTAACTTATCTGATTGTAAAACATTTGAAAATACATAATATTTTTTATTTTCATAATATTAACTGTGTAAACCAGATTACAGCGAGGCATATGTTCCGGGGAGAATGAAGTCATTCTTAGCTGACCTATATAGTGGAAAACTTCACCGGGAGTTTCATTACGGTCCTGATCCAGAAACTACAGAGGACCCTGCACAGGTGTGTGTATTTATCATTCAGTAGAATTAAGATCAAATTTCTACATCTCCCTTAATTGTTTTCATGCCCCAGTGTGACATACAATCCCCACCCCCCAACTCTCAAAGAAACAGGCAAACAAACATCACACTACCATCACCACATTGCTTGTCTGCGCAGCCCTCCCTCTCCACGGAGAGGGGGGGAGCCCCGGACACCCTCGCGCCGGCTACTCTCACACCTAAGTTTGGAGGCTGAGCATCAAAACAAAACTGCCGACTGGAGGGAGAAAGGGTGCCAGAGAGCACCCTACATAACCAAAGATAAGTAAAAGAGGGATATATACCCAAAAGGCGGGCGCCACACGCTCCTCAACTCGAAGTCCTGCCTTACATAACTCCTACGACACCTGGTTTACGCTTCTATATTGTTACCATTTTCACCTTCTCACTCTTCTCGGTGTAGTCGTGCCAGGCCTCGGGTTTCGGTAGGTCAGGTGGGTCTTGGTGCCACTTTCTGAGCCGGTGCGTCCTCCGAGGGCCTTCTTCGTCTGGTCAGCGCGGTGGTCGCTTTGTGCGGAAGTTGGCTTCTTGGAGGTCGCGTCGGCCCTTTCATAGGGCACCCCATAGGGCGAAGGAAAGGAGGCTGGCTCTGTTACCCCATGCTTGGTCCCATGATTCGTGAGCTTTTCGTATCGTCTCTTCCGGCCTTTGGTGGCATTGGGTGGCTCCTCCTCCAGTCGGGGGTTCAGGGCTGGCGGGGCAGAGTTCTTTCCCCGTCTCTGTATTCACCTAGTTGTGCTTGCGGGGGGTTGAGCACTGCTCTTTTGGCCCGCCTCTCAACTGTCAGTGATCATTTTTGTTTTCCTCTCTCCAACTGCCTCCCCCTCTTCCCCAGGAAGCAGCCTGTAACAGCTCTCTAACTCTCAGGTACCTATTTACTGCTAGGTAATAGGGACATCAGGATGAAAAAAACTCTGCCCATTTGTCTTCGCCATCGCTGGGGATCGAACCAGTCCCCAGGATTACGAATCCTGAGTGCTATCCACTCAGCCACCAGACCTCTGTCAGGTCATCTTGGAGTGGGTTCGCTTAGGTGTGGTCGAAACGACTTCATCCCTTAAGTGGGTTTCTTGCTTGTTCCCAGCTCCAAAACGGGGCTGTGCGGATCTTCGGTTCATTTTGGATTTGTTCTGACTGAACCATTGGTTTCCTTGCCCCTCCTTTCGGATGACCACTCGGTTCCAGGTCCGGCTTCTTGAGCCGGGTTGTGGGTTGATTTTTTTGTCTCGGATTTGGGAGGTTTCTCTGGGTTTTGGCGTCTTGTGTAGTTACTGTTCTCCTCCATTGTAAATAAGTTTTTCCCATTTTCTCTCTTGGTTAGATAGCATCAGTGAGCCACCAGATGCTCCTCCAGAAAACTGGTGTAGAATATAATAAACATCTCTTTCTGGTAGAGCCATGGTGGCTCCCCGATTCCCTTCCTCTCTACCAAGTACAGTATGTTGGTTCATGGTATGTCAGATCCAGGCTTGACTTGTTGCTGGTGCTCTTTAGCACTTTAGGTTCTCTTTTAGCTCTTTAGGTTCTCTTTAGCTCTTTTTCCAAGTTTGACCGAGTCCCCACTCTATTTTTTGTTTAAGGAACTTTTCAAGGCTGGTGGTTGGTGGTTGAGCCTGCTTCATTTGACTCTTGCTTCACTATATAGTGTGCAGATTATTTGTATCAGCTTTTATTCAGGGGACGTCCACTCATGTCTGTTTACAACACTGTTGTAGGTGGGGTAATTGTGAACCTCATGTCGAGTTTCATTTCTGGGTGTTTTGCTGTAGACCTTGTGCTTTCCAGACTGTGTTACTGTACCAGGCTAGTGTGTCAGTGTGTCATTCCTGGGCATTGTTATCTTGAGATGATTTCGGGGCTTTAGTGTCCCTGCGGCCCGGTCCTTGACCAGGCCTCCACCCCCAGGAAGCAGCCCATGACAGCTGACTAACATCCAGGTGCCTATTTTACTGCTAGGTAACAGGGGCATAGGGTGAAAGAAACTCTGCCCATTGTTTCTCGCCGGCGCCCGGGATCGAACCCGGGACCACAGGATCACAAGTCCAGTGTGCTGAATTGTGCCCAGTTGTTTTCATGTAGTAATCTTCAGTTCCCAGATGGCATGACCGATGCTTGCTGGGCTGTGTACCTTGGCACTGGAAAGTTTGGCCCTGGGCCCAAGATTTTCTTTGCTTTAAACGTTTGTAGTTATGTGTTTGCCAAGCTCACTTGGCTTGCCTTGGCCCCGCCGGGTGTTTTGGCAGCTCTCTTGCTTAGCTGTGGCAGTGATGTCATTTTTGTGTGGACCCAGAAACTTGTACCTCTGGTGCTCTTGGGTCTGGTAGCCAGTTCCCAGGGCTATTTACCCAGGTCTTTTATGATTGTAAACTTATAAGATTTATATCTATTGTTTCGTGTTTCTTTGTGTTGATATATTAGCAACTTGCTATTTCCTCCTCCTCCTCCCCCCCCCCCCCGTTATACCCCCTTCCCCCTTTCAGCCAGTTGTCCTCCTCCGCCTTACTCTTTGCCTTTCTAGAGTATGGCAAATAAGTGGAATGATAATTAAGTGTTCTTAATCTCTTCATATGAAAGATTTCCACGAATTAGCCTTGTAATCCTTTTCTGAATGTTTTCTGAAGAATTTGTCTGTTCTTTAGTAACAGTGATCAAAACTTCATAATGTAATTGGGAATAATATATCAAGATAAAGTCAAGTCTAATCAACTAATCTGGTGAATAGTTGCGTTACACAGAGAGTAATCACACTAATGTGACTGCATCAATTAGAAAATTCGTAGGATCCTTGATGAGGATTACGGTGGGTAATCCTCATCATGTGGGACTACCCACCACTAGGTTCAGATCCTCATCACGGGTCCTACGGATTGTTTCATTACTTGTGTTACTAATAACATTGTGTAGGAAATTCAGAATCTACTTTAAAGTACTTATTTGACTTACCTCCCATCCCTCATCTTTGTTATATATATATTTGAAAAAAACACAATGTTCTACTTTTTCTTTTATGTAAGATTGAAGACAAGTCTCAAACAGACGAGACAAACGTCAAGAAGGAGAAGCCCACCACGCCTCCGGAGTCGACCTTCAAGAAGCTGGCGCCCTCTAAGAACAGATACACGTTACTTGATAAAGATGAACTGTAAGAGTAAGGCATCAGAAGTAATGTTTAAGCTTTCAGATATTTTAACTTGGGGGTCATTTTGTGCTTTTAGGGAATACTTGGAATTATAAATCATTGGGAATAATGCCTAAATAATTTGATAATTTATTAAACACGTTGGGGGTTTGCTTTAATAAAGGTTAGGGGTTAGTTAACTATTAATCTAACACGAGGATAAGAATGACCAAAAGTGATGTTGAGTGTATCAGGTATTGTGGAAAAAAAGGATTTTAAGCCATGTTAAACATGTATGAGAGGAACTAGGCACTTGTTTATAATTTAATTACAAATGACATGTACAAAAGAAGTTTTCAATCAAAACTGATGGATTGGAAAGAGCAGAATAAATGATGGTAGTCTTTTGACAATATTATGTTTGTTTTCATAAATCTTTTCTAAACTGCAATTGTCGTTCGGGGTGTGAAAAGTTTTAGAACTATTGGAAATTGTTCACATTTCCAGTATTTGGAAGATGTTAATATTAGTGAATGATAGTTGTTGCAGCTTCATATTTTGATACATATTATATGGTGTGTGAAGATGTGTCCACGGGTGGCTGTGTCCACGGGTGGCTGTGTCCACGGGTGGCTGTGTCCACGGGTGGCTGTGTCCACGGGTGGCTGTGTCCACAGGTGGCTGTGTCCACGGGTGGCTGTGTCCACGGGTGGCTGTGTCCACGGGTGGCTGTCTCCACGGGTGGCTGTCTCCACGCAGATGTCTCCACCTGTGGATGTCTCCACGTGTGGGTGTGTCCACGCGGATGTCTCCACGTGTGGGTGTGTCCACGCGGATGTCTCCACGTGTGGCTGTGTCCACGCGGATGTCTCCACCTGTGGATGTCTCCACGTGTGGCTGTGTCCACGCGGATGTCTCCACGTGTGGCTGTGTCCACGCGGATGTCTCCACCTGTGGATGTCTCCATGTGTGGCTGTGTCCACGCGGATGTCTCCACTTGTGGCTGTGTCCACGCGGATGTCTCCACGTGTGGGTGTGTCCACGCGGATGTCTCCACCTGTGGAGGTCTCCACGTGTGGCTGTGTCCACGCGGATGTCTCCACCTGTGGATGTCTGCACATGTCCTGCTCTCATCAACATTGACTCACCTCCTCTAAATCATCAATGGCATTATCACTGTTTTTATTTTGTTTTATTATTTTTAAAGATTTTTTTAAAGAAAACCACACACAGTGCGTATACCCAACCTGTGGAGAAGATTATTGTGGAAGAAGAGATGTCTCACACTTGCATCTTTCTCCAAGACCTGTGACAGTCTTCTTTGTGACGGACTCTTGACTTGTATTGGTGACAAGCACAGTCTGTTGTCATTACTGAATGTTACCGCACTCCTCTCACTCTCTCTCTCTCCTGACTTGTGCTCTAAGTGTGTCTGGTGACTACTGACTGTGGTCACAGTGTCTGGTGACTACTGACTGTGATCACAGTGTGTCTGGTGACTACTGACTGTGGTCACAGTGTCTGGTGACTACTGACTGTGATCACAGTGTGTCTGGTGACTACTGACTGTGGTCAGTGTGTCTGGTGACTACTGACTGTGGTCAGTGTGTCTGGTGACTACTGACTGTGGTCACAGTGTCTGGTGACTACTGACTGTGATCACAGTGTCTGGTGACTACTGACTGTGGTCAGTGTGTCTGGTGACTACTGACTGTGGTCACAGTGTCTGGTGACTACTGACTGTGATCACAGTGTCTGGTGACTACTGACTGTGGTCAGTGTGTCTGGTGACTACTGACTGTGATCAGTGTGTCTGGTGACTACTGACTGTGGTCAGTGTGTCTGGTGACTACTGACTGTGGTCAGTGTGTCTGGTGACTACTGACTGTGATCACGGTGTGTCTGGTGACTACTGTGATCACAGTGTGTCTGGTGACTACTGTGATCACGGTGTGTCTGGTGACTACTGACTGTGATCACGGTGTGTCTGGTGACTACTGTGATCACGGTGTGTCTGGTGACTACTGACTGTGATCAGTGTGTCTGGTGACTACTGACTGTGGTCACAGTGTGTCTGGTGACTACTGACTGTGATCAGTGTGTCTGGTGACTACTGACTGTAGTCACAGTGTGTCTGGTGACTACTGACTGTGGTCACAGTGTCTGGTGACTACTGACTGTGATCAGTGTGTCTGGTGACTACTGACTGTGATCACGGTGTGTCTGGTGACTACTGACTGTGGTCACAGTGTCTGGTGACTACTGACTGTGGTCACAGTGTGTCTGGTGACTACTGACTGTGGTCACAGTGTGTCTGGTGACTACTGACTGTGATCACGGTGTGTCTGGTGACTACTGACTGTGGTCACAGTGTCTGGTGACTACTGACTGTGGTCACAGTGTGTCTGGTGACTACTGACTGTGGTCAGTGTGTCTGGTGACTACTGACTGTGGTCACGGTGTGTCTGGTGACTACTGACTGTGATCACAGTGTGTCTGGTGACTACTGACTGTGGTCACAGTGTCTGGTGCCTACTGACTGTGGTCACGGTGTGTCTGGTGACTACTGACTGTGATCACAGTGTGTCTGGTGACTACTGACTGTGGTCACAGTGTCTGGTGACTACTGACTGTGGTCAGTGTGTCTGGTGACTACTGACTGTGATCACAGTGTGTCTGGTGACTACTGACTGTGGTCACAGTGTCTGGTGACTACTGACTGTGGTCACAGTGTCTGGTGACTACTGACTGTGATCACAGTGTCTGGTGACTACTGACTGTGGTCACAGTGTGTCTGGTGACTACTGACTGTGGTCACAGTGTGTCTGGTGACTACTGACTGTGGTCACAGTGTCTGGTGACTACTGACTGTGATCACAGTGTCTGGTGACTACTGACTGTGGACACAGTGTCTGGTGACTACTGACTGTGGTCACAGTGTCTGGTGACTACTGACTGTGGTCACAGTGTGTCTGGTGACTACTGACTGTGGTCAGTGTGTCTGGTGACTACTGACTGTGGTCACAGTGTCTGGTGACTACTGACTGTGGTTACAGTGTCTGGTGACTACTGACTGTGGTCACAGTGTCTGGTGACTACTGACTGTGGTCACAGTGTGTCTGGTGACTACTGACTGTGGTCACAGTGTGTCTGGTGACTACTGACTGTGGTCAGTGTGTCTGGTGACTACTGACTGTGATCACGGTGTGTCTGGTGACTACTGACTGTGGTCACAGTGTCTGGTGACTACTGACTGTGGTCACAGTGTCTGGTGACTACTGACTGTGGTCACAGTGTCTGGTGACTACTGACTGTGGTCACAGTGTGTCTGGTGACTACTGACTGTGGTCACAGTGTCTGGTGACTACTGACTGTGGTCACAGTGTGTCTGGTGACTACTGACTGTGGTCACAGTGTGTCTGGTGACTACTGACTGTGGTCACAGTGTGTCTGGTGACTACTGACTGTGGTCACGGTGTGTCTGGTGACTACTGACTGTGGTCACGGTGTGTCTGGTGACTACTGACTGTGGTCACAGTGTCTGGTGACTACTGACTGTGGTCACAGTGTCTGGTGACTACTGACTGTGGTCACAGTGTGTCTGGTGACTATTGACTGTGGTCACAGTGTGTCTGGTGACTACTGACTGTGGTCACAGTGTGTCTGGTGACTACTGACTGTGGTCACAGTGTGTCTGGTGACTACTGACTGTGGTCACAGTGTGTCTGGTGACTACTGACTGTGGTCACAGTGTCTGGTGACTACTGACTGTGGTCACAGTGTCTGGTGACTACTGACTGTGGTCACAGTGTCTGGTGACTACTGACTGTGGTCACAGTGTCTGGTGACTACTGACTGTGGTCACAGTGTCTGGTGACTACTGACTGTGGTCACAGTGTCTGGTGACTACTGACTGTGATCACAGAGAATGTCTCCGAGATGACTGTCTCTTAGAGTGGGATGCAAAGAAACTTATCATGAATATATATTAAATATAATTAATTTATTTTGAGTATCAAACTTTTGATCATGAAAGTAAGTTTTTGCTTTTTAAAATATGGCTTTGCTAATTTGTTCTTCTAGAAACATTGACTTGAAGCAATAGGAAACATAATTGACAGTTATGGCAAATCTTGTATTCAAGTGACTTTATTGTTAGTCATTTATAATAATGAATTAATTAAACTTCATGAACTAAGCCTATCTAATTTTGTTTAATATTGATGTACACTAATTCTGAATAACGGTTATTTTGTATTAATAATATGGTGTTACAAATAGGAAAATAATGTAAGGAGTAATGAACTTTGTATAGGAACACCGATTAATAAGTTTTGTCCATTTTCATTAGGCGAATCATCGGAAGTATTGTACATTGTTTACATGTTGACGGTTCATTGTTACTTTGTGAAAATGATAACATTGTCATGATTGGTTGTTTCCATAAAACTTGTACTGATCACCTCTTGATCGTTTAATTAAATAGCAACAGTGTTAGTGAGGTATAATAAAGTGACATAGCCTGGTAATGAGAGTCTTGAGACTACAGGCGTTCTCTTCTCAGAGAGAAGGTACTTCATCGCGATTTAATCTTACAATTGTGTTATTGAAATACATTGTTTCATCACTTCGTGAATTCTTGTTATGAATGATTTGAAGAAAGAAAGTCTTAAAAAAAATACAGTAAGCAGAATTGGCTCATATACAGTATAAAAGTATATAGAGCCCATACATATTTGGAGAGTATACACACGCACAGAGTTATATGACAGGGCACTGGGAACACGGGACACGACAAGTGTAGCTCTCAATCTGTAATTACACTTAATTATCTCCCTCACATACACACACACACTCCACACACATATATAGTGGCACTATGGGCTCACCATAGCCCATGCTACTTGGAACTTTTTGTTCCAAGTAGCGAATCTTAAACAACAACACACACATAGGAGAGTACACATACACGTTCACACACACATGTGCGCTCTATCTCACAGTGTACACTAAGCTATGATTGTTTTTTTTATACAAAGTAAGAGTACCGTGTAGTAGGCACAAAGGCTGCCTCATGTGCCCTGTAAGCCTGAACTTTAAGACTATCATATTCTTGAATTTTGTTTCGTGTGGAATTTGTGATTTTTTGTGGCTACATCTTTTTACTTGAAAAAGATGAAACTTGGACATATTGACAGGAGTTCACATTTGCTAATAATAAAATCATTTAAGCCAGTAGCATCTTGAGTAGATATTTTTTGTGTGCAGTAAATATACGTATTGTTTTATAATTTCATTGTTGCACGCACATCATTGTGTGACACACATTTCATCATGTATGTATTATTATGTGTTACATATATATATTTCATAATATGTTACACATAGTTCAAGTTCTTCTTAGTAATGTTTGCCAGCCATGTGTAAGAAGAAAACCATTTGATCATATGTTAGATATTTTTTTGAAATTTGAATTCTAAATGTTGAACAGTATTAATTTTTATATTCACTAATATATTATGTTTAGCATAATATGATATGTATGTTGTATATTTTTTTGTAGAGGTGATATTAAATTTTTTTATGAAAGACCTATTCTTCAATATTAATTGATTATCATATGCTTCAAATTGATGAGACATGGTGCTTATTTGCATCATTAAGTCAGGTCAGGTAATGTATAATACAGTATACCAAAATGTGCAGTAAATTTTAGCATTATTGTAGTAATACAGTCCCCCCCCCCCCCCCATTCTTTCCAGCCCATTGTCGTTGTGAGGGGGGCTTGGTACTCACCTAGTTGTGCTTGTGGGGGTTGAGCTCTGCTCTTTCATGTGTTCACGGACGGGTCATCTCTCGGCTGGGGCTTTGTGACCAGTGCTCACCAGGCCGGCCAGGGATGGTGGGGTCCATCTGTCCGCAGGGCTCACAGCACAGTTCGTGAGCTTGTGGCTGTCTGGCTTGCACGTCAGAGGGTTCGGGTCACTCGGGGCTCTACCATCTGGCTCCATTTGGACTGTTCTCCGGTGGGTCATTGCCGGAACCACAGGGATTCTCTTAGGCATTTGACCTTTGGGGTTGGTCCCTTCGAGTGACTCGTCTGCTGGTTTCTCAGGGTTTTGGCTAGCCGTGCATTTCAGGTCCAGGGTGTGCTACGTCCTGGCGGACGACCTGTCTCGATTCATTCCTCTGTTCACGGATTGAATGGTCATCGCCAACTCGTTTCGTTGGCTCTGCCGGACGTACAGCCTCCTGGACATGGACATGTTCCTGGACATGTTACCTGTTCCTCTTCTATCTTCTCTCTTCTTACCTGTTCCTCTGTTCCTCTTGGTCCAGCTGTTGCTTCATGTTCTAGCTCGGTTGGAGTCCTTCCCAAGGAGAGTAGTTCTTGTGGTCCCTTGGTGGCCGGCCCAGCTTTGTTTTCAGACACTGCTTGATAGGTGTTCGAACCTGGGGCGTTTCCCACAGCTCCGCCTCTTTAGGCAGATCGGATCGGTCCTATACGTGACTGGTTCGGTCTTCTCCTCGGCTCTTCGCATCAGGTCTTTTGACACGGGTGTATCACCATCTCTATGGTGATCAGGTGGCTTCGTTGATGGTGTCCCACCAGCGAGCTTCGTCTCGGCGACAGTATGACGTTCCTGGTGTTTCTATTCGTCATTTTCTTGCTCTTTGTAGGTTGTCCTCTCTTTCGCATCGGCTTGTCTTGTTCTTTCTTTGTTTTTAGGACTGTTAATTGATGCTTCATACTGTCGCCTCGTATCGTGCGGCGCTGGCGGAGCCACTCCGACTTACGTTCGGGGTGGACGTCACATCCGCCTCGTTACGTACGCTTTCTCGTGTTTTCTGTCATCTCCGGAAAGAAATTTGCTCATGCGCCTGATCCTTGATCAGGGTGCCCTCTTATCCTTATTCTCCTCAGTTTGTGGTATGCTTTGTGTGTGTGTATGCTCCTTTTGTGGTATTTGTTTCAAGATTGGTTTTCAAAGGCCATATTTTGTTGGTATTGGTCTCTGCGGGTTGGGTCGGGGAGCTTCCGGCGCAGAGGTTTCTGCTCTTTTGGTATTAATGGTAGGTTTGTACGTTTGCAGCCTTTCTCCGTCCTGACGACGGTTGAGATGGCTGTTTTCCAGAGGGGTCCTTGGGTTATTGTTGCTTGGTTGGTTCGGCCGGGGGTGTGACATGTGTTGTCCGGTTGCGACTCTTCGCCGTTACCTGTGTGCCTTGGCTGGTGATGCACTTTGGGCTGATCTGGTTCCCCTCGTTCCCTGTTTCAGGGCTCGGATCTCCCAGGTCGTCCGCAGGTTTCTTAAGTCTACCAGCCTGCGGTTTATCTTTGTGCCAGTGCTGTTCGGACGTTTGCACCTTTCGCTGCCGTGTTTGGTGATGCCTTGGGCTCATTTCGGGCGCGAGGATTTGTGGGTTGCACAGGTTCCTGTCCGCCCGTTCTTTTGTGAGCGTGTCTGCTCCTGTGCGTTCTTGTGTTGCTTTGGGTTGCAGGTTGCTGGATGTTTCCTTGACTTCGCTTTGCGGAGTTTGTGGCGGCCGCCTCCCGGGTCAGCCCTTTCTTTTCCTTCTCTTTGGGTATGTAGCTTCAGGAAGCCATAGAGGCTCCCCACAGAAAACCAACGTTGAACGTAATGAATCGCCATTTTCTGGGTGAGCCCTGGAGGCTCCCTGGCAACCCTCCCTCCCACTGGTCGGCATTTTTTTCGCGTTGGTTGAAGCTTAGCTTTCGAACTGATGCTAGGCAGCTGGCGCAGTGAGGTCCGGGGCACCCCCTCCCCCTCTCAGGACGGGAAGGGCTGCGCGGACAAGCGGCACGGCAGTAAAGTGTGATGTTTGCTTGTTTCCTTGGGATTGTAGGGAGTTTCTACCTCTCTGTTCGGTTTTTGTTTTAGTTTTTTACCATGTGGGGTTTGTTTTGTTATGCCTACCTTTCTGGGTGCCTAACCCCGGTCGATGGCAGATAAGGAAAACCCCAACCACAAAGGAGTTTTCCTGGGCCATTGCTCTCTGAAACCTCTCTGAAGGGGCCAGGTTCTGGTGCTGGTTCCTGGTAGGTCTGAACTCCATAGCTAATGTCCCGGTCTGCAACCCATCCTCCGAATTGACAGTACGATTTAATACTTAGTGTAATAAGTACATTTTCTTACTGTCATATACAGTGCATAATTGCACTTATGGGGCTGTTACATTTACCCAACCCCCTCCCCCGATTTCATTCTCCTCATTTTCTGTTAATACACTCAGAATTTTTGGCAGGAATTTTCAATTAATTTGCTATATACAAGTTTTAAATATCAGGAATTTCTTTTTCAGGTTTATTAAACAATATAGACTTTATACAAAATTTTAAAATATCATGAGTTACTTTACAATTTATTGATATATTTTAGTTATGTTTTATTAGTTTTACAAAACTGTAATATCAATATAGCTATAGGTTAAGTACTAATTGTAATTAAGAAGCAATAAAATTATTATCTTCAAAAACTAAGACGGTTAGGTGAGGTCATGGTTTTCTATTCAGTTTTTCAGGTAAACTCAAATATTCACAATATATTTGACAGTACGATTTAATACTAAGTGAAAATAAGTACAATTCCTAACTGCTATGAATAGTACATAATTGCACTTATTTGTCTCCTTACATTTACCACCCCATTTTTGGAGGACGGGCTGCGGTCTAATATAACATACATTAGCCCGATAAGCTGCAGGGGGCCTCTGTGGCTCACCCAGAAAAGGCGTTTCATTACATTCAATGCTGGTTTTTTTGCTTCTCAGACTCGTGGGGTGGGCGACCAAGCCCCCAAATTAAACTGTGTTGGAAGACAGGGCTCCGGGCCCTGACCATGTTCCTTCTCGGACTCTCCCAACTGCCCCAGTCTCTGCTCCCCTCCCACCTCTGTGGCGGGGTTGAGCCTCAAGCCCCCAGTTGTGACAACATTACCTGGTGTGGCTCCGTCTCTAGTTGTCACAACTGTGCCTTTTACCCCCTCCCCTCTCTTACTGGGGGTACTTGGTTTGGCGAAGGTGTGCCCCAAGGTAGTGTTCTGAGCACTACTTTTTTCCTGGTTGCCCTCAATGGTCTTCTTTCCTCCCTTCCCTCTGACATTTTCTCCGCTCTTTATGCTGACGATCTTACTCTCTGCTGTCAAGGTAATGACTTGCCTTTCCTCCAACGGCAGCTTCAACTTGTGATTGATGCTGTGTCGTCCTGGGCCACCAATCATGGCTTCAAATTCTCTCTAGCTAAGACTTATGCTATGACCTTTACTCGGAAGCAGGTCGTTCTTCGACCCCCTTAGTCACTTTATGATAATTCTTTCGTATAAGGATTCTGCTAAACTTCTGGGGTTAATCTTTGACACTCGCATGTCCTGGGCACCCCATATTTCTTACCTCCGAGTTAAATGCTCTAATGTCCTTAACTTAATTAGTCTTGTCCCATACTTCCTGAGGAGCTGATAAGCGCATGCTCCTCTCTTTACATTCCTCTCTCATGCTGTCTAAACTGGATTATGGCTGTCGTGCTTACTCGTATGTCTCTCCCTCCACCCTTTGTCGTCTTGATGCTCTTCACCACACTGGGTTCCGTCTTAGCTCTGGTGCCTTTCGTTCGACCCCTACCTAGAGCTTGTATGTTGAACCGACATCCTGTCTCTACAGGATTGTCGTTATCACTACTGTTTTCGCTACTTTGTGCAGTCACTCATTGTAACTCACTCTTGCTTACGTCGTACTTTGACCATTGCCCCTCCTGTGGGCCCTATTCCCTTTCACCACATTTCCCCTTTCTGTACGGTTGTCTTGCTTGCAAGGTTCTCTCTTCGTGTTGCCAATGTTTCTCCTCGTGTCATTCCATCCTTGCCCAGCAAGGAGGGTCCCTCTTCCTAAATTTTGTAGAATCTTCACCTGCATGACTAAGGCTTTTACCCCTCCTACAGTTCTGAAACCTTTTTCATTGCTTACTTTTCTTCACACTTCCGCTCCGTCTCCATCTTCACAGATGGGTCCAAGTCTGCTGACGGTGTAGGCTACTCCGTTGTGTTTCCTGACTGCACCTGTGTCGCCTGCCTCCAGAGACTAGCATCTTCATGGCTGAACTTTATGCAGTTTTGTTTGCTTTTTGTCAACTGCTTTCTCCCCATAATTCTTCCTTTGTTGTTGTAGTTGACCCGCAGTGCTGTAACACCACCACCATAAAGTACCAGTAATAATGTAACACTACTAAAGTTGTACACTAAATATTATTGTATCCTAGACTATATTTGTTGTTGAAAAGTAAAGCAGAGGAAAGGGGTAAGGAATAAAGGAAGAAGGGATAAGGATGGGTGGGAAGGATTAAAAAATGTGGACTGGGAGGGGGAACTCGTCTGTGGGGCAACAGAAAACGAGGGGCGCATGGGAAGCTTGGAGGTAGGACCCCCTCCCCGCTCAGCTCGTTGTCGCCGTGTGGGGGCTTAGTGGACGGCTGCCGGAGTGTGATGCTCCTTGGGACAGTCCTCTGTCCTTTTCTAGCCTTGTGCTCCTGCTGCTGTCCTCTCCAATTCTGCTGGGCATCTTTTCCTTTTCCTTCT